GAGTAGATCTGCTGCTCTTCCACATAAAAATAAGCCAGTTAAAGCCTCCCTGGTGAGGTTTGCCTGGCATGTCCAGGTGGCGAAAAGGAAGACCCAGGACACGCTGGAAGGACTATTTCTCTCGGCTGACCAGGGAGCGCCTTGAGATTCCCCGGAAGAGCTGGTCCAAGTGGCTGGGGAGAGGGAGGTCTGGGCCTCTCTGCTTAGGCTGCTGCCCCTGCGATCCAACCCTGAATAAGCAGAAGAGAATGGATGGATGGATGTTTTCTAAAGTTGTCATTGTAGCTTTAATCTGAGGGTTATGTTGCAGGGAATATCGGTGACTGTGACCTCTAAATTAGTTTATATGTTGAAATGTGTATAGAGATATTTTCATTTCCAGTATTTTGAAATAACCTTTTTGACTATTTGAATGATGCTACATCAGATATCTGCTGGCATCTGCAGCTCTGGAAATCCTACCCTTAGAACAAAAAGTGAGTGTGTTTTACTTTTGAGTCTAAAACCAGGATTTCCACAGCACACAGTGGCTTTTCTTTTAACATTGCTACCGTAACTGGTGCTGCACAGATAACCTGTACTGAAGAATCAAGATGTTGAGAGTTTCAGATTAAATCAGTTGTAAAATGGGCCACCTGTTCACTGATTCTTGATAAAATTCCCAACAAATCGTGATTGTTAGCTGATGTAATCTCAGTAAAGCTCTTCAGCAGCACCGAACCTGCTACTGTCAAACGTACGTTTTAAGTTCCTCTAGACAGGTATACTGCACGAACAGAAAGTGCTTGCTTAGGCTGCATATCCTATAAAGTTATGTCGTCATGTTACTACAATTATGTATCAGATGTGCGATTGTCAGTCAAAGGAACTCAGAGTCTCAGATACAACATGATGTAATGACAAGTATGAACTGTACCAGCTGCATTTTATTGATTTATATCAGGAAGTATTTGGTTTTTAAAGCAAAAACAAAGCTTGTATGTGTTTATGACAAGCCCCCACAATGCGGCTCAAAAATTGAGGCCAACCTGGAAGTGCCAAAAATTGCAGTTCCACCCTCATCCACTAGGGGCTGGTGTCAGAAGCGAGCAAATCCTCATTGACTCCCATGTTAAAAATACCAATTTCACAGCAGAAATAAACATGTTTACAGCCTGGTACCAAAACACGTTTTTGGTTTAAATGATCTAGTTTACACTCGTGACAACTCTGAGGGGGGTAAATTTTTTTCTCACTCTTCTGTTTAAGTGTATTAAAAGCCTAAAATTCTGTATAATTAATGAGCATCAGACCCACGTGACCGCAGAGCTAGCTCCGTGGAAAGGCCTCAGTAGAGCCTCGGTCTGGCTTAGAAACTGTTCTGAGATTTTGAGTCTCTGTGTTTGTGTATTCTTTTTTGGATATTTTTTGTGCAATTGTTGGACAAAATGACTTGCTGTGGCATTAATTGCACTAATAAAGCATCCAAGGAGTCTCCACTTCATTTTTTTCAGTAAGTAAAATTATATTTATGTATTTTAGGTCACTGCCGAGCTGAGCTTAGATTTTAACATGTACTGTTTAGCCATGAAATTTAAATGTAATAGGTTAAAACCCAGTGCATTTAACATAATGCTGCACTTTAGAAAATGGGTTGAAATATAACATGTTGGTGGAGCTGGGTTCCGACTATCGGCTTGTGGAGGTCTCGGGAGACCTCTGTTTTCCACCCGTTTCTCCCCTCCCTGCAGCTTAGCGAACCTCTGTCTGATCGCAGCTTCTGTCTGCTGCGCGGGCTGCCGGTTTTCAGCAGCTTTCGGGAGACCTCTGTGTTCCACCCGGTTTTACCCAGCGGTCAGCCCGGCATATCTCTGACTGAGAAGCTCTGGTGTTGTGCACAGTTAACTCTGGTTGTAGCTTGGTTGCTACCTCCGTTAGCTTAGCTCCCACCTCCGCGTTAGCTTTGGGTTAGCTTCAGGTTAGCTTGTAGCTAGTTCGACCGGGTGTCGTCAGTTGATCCCAGCCTTACAGCCCCACCCTCAGCTCCGCCTCCCTTCCCTTTTGTGGAATTGTCTGGGCTTGACGGAACCTGTGACACGAACAAAATGGCGGTGGTGGCCACCTCCCATTTATTCTCAAAAACATGTTATTGGAGCCTATGGAAACCCATTCTCCAATATTTATATGTCGATGGTTTATGAACAAAAGGATAGCTGCTGAAGGACAGATGTTGGGATGAAGGGTTTGGAGACAGTAGCACCAACACCATGAAGGCTGATTAGAAATGAGTAAAACGGAGGGACAACAGATGCAGTAAGGCAGATGTTGCTGAGGAGTGATGTAGACTAAAGGTATGAAGCTGCCAGGGTGCAGGATAGCAGGAAGGCAACAGGTAGGGTTCACGATGTGATATGACCACTCCTAAAGGGAGCACCAAAAACAAGTATTGCATCATATCCAGTAGTGCTTTATAGTGGTCGGATGGACAGGTGGTGCCTGTGTACGACAGCCTACCACTGTCTGTGTGCTCCAGGGCTGCAGGGGCTCCACTGTGGCTCATCATCAGTGTGTGAATGTGTGCATGCATGGGTGAGTGACTGTTGTGTTATAAGACAGGGATGTAGAATTCTGGAAGGTGCTATATACATATAGTCCCATTTACTTTAATTGCATTTAATCACATAGTGTCGTACTGACTCGTCACATCACATGGAATAGAAAGCCTTACATTGGCGTGGCATGATTAGGGAGGAGAAGGCATGTTGTGTAGCGATACAGTATGGTTTAATATGACAAGACAAGATAAAACATTCAGGTTATAGGGTTTCCCTGCTCCAAAATACTTGAATCAATGATTGAATGACCTCTTCGGTATCACCATCAATATCATAAAAGATTGTTTCTCATCTTGATTTAAATCAGGTGTGCTGAAGTAGAAAACATCTAAACCTTAAGGATAGTGGTCCTTAAGGACCAGGGTGGGAGGTGTGGTAGTTGCTTTAGTGGACAAAGAGAGAGTGGACACTGAGAAACCGTTTTTACTTATTATTGCTTAAATATGATCGGCTACTCTGAGTTTTACATGCAGGCTAAACATGAAAATGGTCATCTAGCCCTACTTCCTAGCCACTGATAGATGGGGAGACACTCGGATTAGAAAAGTCAGTCAGATCTATGTCACACTGAAAATTAAAATTCATGGACTCACCCTTCTTGGCTAGTGACGGAGATGGCTGTTGGTGGTTTAGCGTCCAGGAAACAGCAAAGCACGTCTCGGCTAGTAGAAGCTAACTGTTAGCATTAGCAACTCCACAATAGGGTACAACTCCTCAAAGCGTGTGTCATTTGTAGAGATAAAACGTCAGCGTCACGCTGCTGTTAGCCAATTAGAGGCTGCTTTTTTCTGCCACCATCTCCTCAAACAAACTTCCTGAAACAGGAGCGCCAGAGCTTTTTCCCTGCAGCGACTGACTCAGCATTCATTTGACTCAAGCAATCAATTTCCCTCTGGGATTAATAAAGTATTTTTGAATTGAATTGAATTTTGAATTGAATTTATACTAGACGCCACAGCAGATGAGTAGAAAAAACGAGTGAACTGTATTTAACAAAATTTAAAGGAATTCTGTGCAACTTAATCATTTTTTTTAATCATTTTCTTGAGACATAATGTGCTAAAATGACTCTTTACAGGGGTAATGAAATGTCACGCACACCCCCACCGCTTCTGTGGCCAGAATATCACACTTGCAACTTCAGAGTGGTGGGCCACCCCCTGTAGGACTGTACGTTTCCTGCATGTTTTAGATCGTGAACACAGCGGATTTGTTTGTTTTGTGATGAAACGCTCCTGTAGACAGTAATGAAGGCTGAGGTGACCTTTCAGCTATTAGATTAAACGAGGAGATAAGTTTCACTACTGGTCTCACTAATGGAACACCAGGGGGTGCTAAAAGCAAGCCAAAACTGCCTATTTTTCTTGAAGTGTGAGGATCAAAACTTTCTGCTCAATGAGATTAAAGTGAAATTGATTCTCAAACAAGTTTGGGTAAACAATGGGCGTTTCTCAATGCCAAGGAACCTTGCCTTGATGTCTTGGCTCCGCCCCGGTTGCCTAGGAGATACGTCATCTGGAGCCACCAAGACGTGTTCCAATGTTCATGTTCTACCAAGGCATGTGTTCTCCATTTGTTAGCCGTTTAGCTAGCTGAGCAAGGATACACGGGAGGTGTCTTGTAGCCTAGCCTTGGTCAAAAATTACCCAGAATACACCGCAGTATTTTCCAAAGGACCGCAGATCAGAAGCCGGCAGCTACTTCGGGGACAATTTCCAAGTTTAACAGTAAGTCAACTAATTTGAAATGTTTTTTTTTAGAACAAAATAAGTTATCTATGGTTGGTTAGTTGCTTAGTAGTTGCAGCTTCGGTGGCTAGCGGGTAGTAACTCGCTTCCATATTTAATTTAATAAACATATACACAATTTCAAAAGTAAAAGGTTCATTATATATTTATATTGAAACTAATAAGTATAAAATATAACGTTATCTCCCGTGTCACGTGACGTTACGTGACCGCCATCAAAGCCACGGTCACGTGATGCAAGTCTTTTCCATTTAACCGTTTTCTTTGACCAAGGAAGGACAGTGTCCTCGTAAGCAAGGAGCCTGGCCTCGCAAGACATCGCCTCACAAGGCCAGGCGCCTTGACATTGAGAAACACCCAATGACACCAAAGTCTTGTCAAAACAATGTTAGCTAGTTGAGAATGCTAAAGCTAACATCCTAGCCTGGCAAGCCATCCAGTATGTGGAATTACATACCTGCAGAGCAAAATCTTTTTGGTAGTGCTACGGTTGGTCTAGATTTCTAGACTAGTCGTACGTCCCAACTAGAGGATAGTTAGTCAATAATTTATAGTACATAAACAACCAAATACCTCTTATGGTTTGCCTGATAAATGGATATTTATCAATTTATCATTCAGCACTTTCCATCTTACAAGACACAAATGAGACAATAGGTGGTTTGCAACATGATTTTTTTATTTTACAATCCAGAAAAAACACCACAGCACATCAGTAAACTGCTCCACAAAACACATTCTCTTATAAAGACTATGGTTTTCCCTGAAAAAAGAAAATCACCCCTAAGTTAGTGTCACATTTTACTCCCCTAAAATTTAATCAGAAATTCGTTGAACAAGAAGCTATCAGAGCACATGTGAAGTTTAGCGTCGGGTAGCCTTTACAGAGGGGGAAGGCGGAAAAAAATGTAAAAGTACGAGTCGAAACCAGAACGGTGACCAGAACACAACGGTGAAAATGTTAATCAGGAGGAGAAATAAAACTTCAGAGAGAAATAAAGGTCAAATGGAACAAAATGAGGCAAGACAACGAGGAAGTTCAGAAGGAGGGAAGAGGGAAGGAGCAGAAAGGTCAGGAGGAAAAAAAAAGACAGATTGAAAGGAGTGATCAGAGGAAAGGTCAGAAAGATGGACGGATTTCTGAAGGGGTGGAGGATGAGGAGGCCAAAACGTGGATATAAACTCCTAAACACTGCAGTTTACCTGTATTTAAAATCAACAATTAGAGAAACGGAAGACTCTTTTTTTCTCTATGCAGACGAAAGCTATTTGTATACAAATTTAAATTTCTAAAGCAGTTACGTAATAAGTATAGGGAACATAAATAAAATCTATTTGTGACTATTAAAGTAATTATTGCACAACAACACTTATTATAGAGTAAAGCCATTTTAAATGGAACAAGATATGAGAGATTACTAAATGCATGCATAGTAAAAATCCTTATAATCCTGCAGTGTCAGTTCTACACGTGAGGAGATCATGACACTCTGTGTCCATTTTTACTTCCTGTCTGAAGCTGGCTCTGATTCGGCGGCACAGAGGATGGTTTATTTGTGGAAAAATGGTGAATTTGGGATCGGAGTGAGAGAGAGAACAACAGTACTTGACATGATCTTCACTTACATTCATCGACTCGGTCGTACAGACAGACAGCTGTAGAGCAGCAGTGAGTGCTTCAGGGTCTGAAGTTCAGGAGTTTTCATCAGAACAACAAACGGCAGCGTGAAAGATCGACACACAAACCAGACCGCTCATATTATAAAATACACTACATCTAAGAATAGAATGACCTAAAGATGAAATATTTTAAACCATATCTTTGTATTTACAAGCATGTACAGCACAAGCAGACATTCTTCACATAGTACACGTGAAGGTACAGTTTGTGCTCATTTAAAGTCGAGAAAAATCTCAGCCTGTTTTGTGAATCTACAGTATGTGTGCCTTCGTCTATTAACATGTTTACGGTAGTTCAAATATGGATCTAACTGCACAGCTATTTTAATGTCTATATATAGAAATGTATATAATTTTGAGTGAGTCATTTTAATGAGTTGTAGAGCAATTTTGACGTGTTTCTGTGTAACAATTATAAATAAATACAATCCGAATGGCCTCTGTTTGGAGAAATAACTTTAACATATTTTAGGACTGACATGCTAATGGCTAGTCTGGGCATGGCCAGGACCAAAGTGTACTGCTGCAATTTTAATGGCATAGTATGCAACATTTTCATAATTTCAACTCATTCACTGCCACTGATAACAAACGCCGTAATTTTAAATCCAACCTTAACTGCCAATGACGATTAAAGTCGTCATTTGCATTGTTTTACTGGGTGGGCGTCGGAACGAGCCCCCGCACCGTGAGAACAAACATCTCAGCTCTAAAGCCAATCTTCAACTGCGTACGTCACACGTCACGTGATCAGGAAGCAGAAAATCCATGTGTTAGGAGATCGTTTGGGCCCTGCTGTAAAGAAAGTGAGGCGCGAACCGGAAAAGGTTCTGCCGATCACAATTCAACAACGGATTATGAAAGAACGGATAACGCTTGAAACACGCGGATTCTTCCTGATGTAAGAGGTGAGTCTACTCTTTGTTTTGGTAGTTTTGGTGTCAACATCATCCTAGCGCGCAACATGACTCTTAAAAAAAGAGTAAAAACGGTGAGAAACGCTGGCAGGGAAGGGCTTTTCTGATCAGGAAATGGCTGACAGTGAATGAGTTAAAGAACAAGTCACCCCCAAATCCACATTTTTTTGCAGATAAACTATATAAATGAGTGTCTAATCATGCTGTAGACACGTTTAGTCAATAATTTAGCACTTTGGTGCATCTTAGTTAAAATTTAAATATTATGCCTAAAACTGTCAATGTTGCGCCATCTTCAGGTAAAAACTCTGCACTGCATTAGAATTTAAATCTTCCACCACTATTGACTAAAAGGTACACTATGACATTATCTGGTACATTATGATGTCACAATGTTGTTGTTTGTTTCCTGCACGTTTTAGATCAGGAGCACGGCTGATTTGTTTGATTTAGTGATGAACCGCTCCTAATGAAGACTGAGGAGACATTTCAGCCATTAGATTAACGTGTTAAAAAGACACAGGAAGAAGATATGTAAAACTTTTGGTTTCACAACGGTTCCTTAAAACTGACTCTAGGGGGCGCTAAAAGCAAGCTAAAACTACCTAGTTTCTCATAAAGACAGCTCCAAGCTGCCAGTTTTCGCAGCAGTTCATGTAAACTTTATTTTATAAACCTTTACAGCTCTGTCAGTTTTGCATTACACATTACTTTGACAGGAATAAGAAAAAAATCCTGCCAGCCTTAACGCAGGAACTTAGATTATTTTTCCCAGATGGCACCATCTAGAGGCGGAAACAATGTGTTGCACCTCAAGCCCCTCCCTATTTCCATGATTACAACACCTCTCGTTTGTGAATGCACACCTCTTACTGGACAGCAAAACTAAAACACTATTGTTTCACCAGTATCATTCTAACATTATGTTGTTTATTCATATATTGAGATTTTAAAGACTAACTTGTTTATAAAAATGTCACCAACTCTGCATCTGTCTGGGTACTTTTACAAACACGCGTGCACGATTTGTGATTGACATCTGAAAGTAAGCGGTTGTCTAAGCTGATTGGCTAATCCTGAGCAGTGCTCAAGTGAAATTGCATGGGGCTCTATGGGACACGGGCAGGCGGAAAGCGGGAAAACTCCAGATTGCTGCTGTAACCTCAGCATACACTGATTGTGCTAAATCTAATTACCAGATATATTTGTACTCATAAATAATAATGTAAAAATGTTTAGGTTGTTTGAACTAGCCATTAGCTTATCAATCCTTTGTATTGAAAACTCGGTTTCAAACACTCATGATGCTATTTGCAACTGGGAAGACAGTTAAAACGTGTACCTTTTAAACAGAAACACCATCCGTAAAGGCCCCAAAATGCCTTTAATGCATTGCAGGAAGATGATACATTATTTTGTGAAACATCCGACTAGCAGCCCTGCTGCTGCTATTGCTGTGTGTGAAATGAGTCATTTGGGGGAGATGTCAGAGCAGCTTCTCCTTGCATGATGCTTGTTTCTGCAAGAGCCTCTGCTGACTGCCGCATTGCCTCCTCTGACACCACCCTGGCACGAGGACAGATTAAAACCAAAACAAACAAATAAATAATGAACAAATGAAAATCACAGTCCTCCGTTTTAACCAGGTAGAGACACCTGGTAGGAGTCCTTGATTTCAGAGACTTGTGTTATTGAGAGGCTGATCAGTTTGGTGCACCGATACATGAAAAGCCTACATACTCTGGCATCACTTCCACCGCAGCAGAAGATCCCACTGACATGGATACAAAGTTAGACTCTGATACATAAAACGTATTACTGTTATACATTTATACACAGACATTATAAAACTTTACATAGCTACCACATCATTATGGCACATTTGCTATGCGGTAAAAACATGTATTGTGCTTTGAAGTTTGAGTCTTTGATCCTGTCAGAGTGAAAGTACTAGAGACTTCAACTCAATACTTCAGTCAAAAATACTAAACTTGTTCACGAAGACAGCGGCAGGGTTTGATTTAACCAATGACACAAATATAGAAACAAGATAACTTTGGTTTTTGGTACAAATGTTTCATGAATGTTAGATTTCATAGGGAATACCCACAAGGTCTGATATGCAAGCTCATATATACACACCTTCCTCTAAATGTTTTAATAAATGGTACTGAAGGTTGTAGAAAGACGTTTCACTTGACGAGGCCAAGGCCTGTTCATGTTTCATTAAAGGAGACATATTATGACTTTCTTCTTAAGTTATAATAGTTCTATGGTTGACTCAAAACCTTTCCATGTGGTTATTTCCCCTAAACCCCTCTCACATTAAGCAGTTTTAGCAGTTTTATTCTTGACAGTTTGACCAGAATGAGCCATTTCAGGGCTCTGTCACTTTAAGAAAACAAGCTGAAGCTAGCCACCACCACCCTCGCTCAAGCTGCTATAAGCAGAGAAGCTCCAACATTTGGGAGGGGCTCATAGTAGTCCATCAGCAACTCTTTCTTGCATATACGGTGGCTTTATGCTAATTTCTTGCATTTGTTACATCACAAATAGGGACTTTTGGACATTGCTTGTTTTAAGACCATTGTTCCTGAAACCAAACAATGACAGAAAATGGATTGACTCATTTTTACATGTTGGAATTGTTTATCGGGGCAACAGAGACCCACAAGGATGAAAAAGTTGAGTTTTGCATAAAAAAAAAACTTTTAATAATCAAGACTGTCTACATCTGATTTCTGTATGGATTTGTTTGACAGCTCAGCACTGAATACACCAATGCTCCTTGGTCACTCCCAAATAAAAGGAAACTGGTTTGGATGTTCAGGAACAAACAAGGTTCAAGTGTCCTGTGAATTGAAAACTTCTGGAACACCAGTGTCTCCATCCACAGTGAAACTAGTTTTACATCAACATAGACCGAGAGGACAAAGAACGAACCTCCGGCTCTAAGGGACATCTTCAAGTCTCAGCAGAACTGTATAGTTGACAACATGGATAAGCTAAATACCTTCAGGAGAAGTGTTTCCTGATCAGACCAGACAAATAGTTGGTTCCAAAGAAAAAAACATGTTTGGAGGAACGTGAAGAACGCTGAATTGTCAGGCAGGGAGGTGGTAGCATCATGATGTGGGACAAGAAGGAGGAGGAGGACCCCTTCCAAATTCTTCAGTTTCACTGGAAATCAGCTGGTTGAATGTTGGACACAGTTGGTCTCAAACACACATAAGAGCTAGTTTCTGATTGGATAAGTCAAGTTTCTATAATGGCCTTCCCAAAGTCTGAACCTTGACCTCGTTAATCTTAAGAGTTTTAAATGAAAACGCCTGCACTAGTCTGGTTATCTTGAAGACGTTTTGCCTCTCGTTCAAAAAGCTTCTTTAGTTCTGGGATTGGGTTGGGAGAAGGAGTCTTTTAAGGTTGTGAGGTCCCATTGATGGGGCAATGGAGGTCAGTGACAATGACAGATAATCTGGACCAGCACCTTGACCTTTTTCAGCATTTATGATCTGTGCTTAAAACCATAGTCAGCAGCATGAAACCAATGGCCAAATGTCAGCTGGAATGACACCAGAAACTTGTTGATATCGACAAGTTATGTTTAACTATGGAGCATCGGATACAAGGATCCATTTCTCTAAATATCCGTGTGGCTCCTCGGACATGTCTGAGCTTGTGTTTTTTACCTTGATCATTTGTGAAAGGCAGAAAATGTGCAATAAATGGAAACTTATGCACCTACATCTTGTTTTAAAAAAACATAAAGCAATTATTCCTAGAAAAAGAACAGTTCAAAAGAATAACCGATAGTCCAAAATTGTATTTCCCAGGATCCCAATGAGGTTTGATATTTCTCGTTTGTTTGGTAGTGTTTGTTTTTGTACTTTAACTAGTTCTCTTTTCTTCTTCCGGCTCTCGGAGGGTGCAGACGCTTTTTTCCTCCTCTTCTCCATATCTTATCCTCAAGGCCCTTTGTCTGTCTCTGTGCGCTGGGTGCATGGATGCTTCTGCATTTTTTCTGGAAACTGTAAACTGAAATCATTAAAATGGACTTTGTCAGTTGGTCACTCAACGCGATTGATAAAATTTTTTCAACGATGAGAACGGGAGAAGGGGCTCCCGCATGCTCCTCTGGGACGACCCAGTTGGACACATCATGGGCTCCTGGAAACAGTGGAACTTGATTTGTTTATCTCAGCTGTCTGTGGAGGACTCTGAAGACGCGTGGATATTAGTGGTGTTGGTATCAGATTTCCTGCTCATTGGCCTTGGAGGATTCCTGGCTTACCAGAAAATTAACGAGCTGTCGAGGAATATTGGCCTGCTCCTGGAGCTCAGAGATGGTTTGCACCAAGCTGTGAATTCACAGACTCACATAATTGTCGAGATGAATCGTAAGCTTGGAACTTTGGCAGAGATTCATTATTGGCACAAAAGATGGATGCCATCAAGAATAGAGTGGACGAATCAGCACGGATTGGGTTAGATTAATGTCCATTATTGGGATTTTGAGAGGTTGAGGACCAAGGAACTTTAAGACAGAGAGGAAAGCATCTCTGTCTGGCCCCCAAACCATTTTTAATTGGAATCTGATGCCCTTGAGCCTGCAAGGCTCCAACGAAAACTCCCCCCCGGAAGCTATGTGGAATGTGCCGTCGCTATGGCTACTCAACTCTGTCTCTTATCCCAACCTGGACGGGACTGCGGGAAGGCCGCCGAATCTTTCCAGGGTCACTGCAACCCTCAAACCCTCACCACCCCATCTAGTGGACACTTATGTTGTGTGAAGTCTGAAGTCTGTTGCATATCTGTCTGAGGTGTTTTTTGCAGAGCAAAGCTGCCCTCTTAGTGGAGGGTAACTCTGAAGTGCCTTTTTTTCCCTCCACCTGAACCAATCCTCATGTAACCCTCTGATCTCTATTAAGGTAGCGCGACTCAGTGTTGCAAATGACCACAGTCACCAATTCTTGTCATGTGTCTTGCCCATGTATGTCTGATCTCTGAATTGTGTGTACTGAAACTCTAATTTCCCTCGGGGATTAATAAAGTATCTTTGAATTGAATTGAAATCGAAGTCTTCTTTTAAACAAGGGCAAACATTCAACGAAGACATAGATGAACAGATTGTTATTCCCTGTTTTGATACAAATCTTTCCTTTCTACCTGTCCATTTGCATGTTTCAGTCCGTTACTGTGTTAATTTGGAGCCACGTATTCCGTGTTGGTGTAGGAGAATCCAAGGAACTCATCCTGGTCCAGGTTCATGATGACGAGCTTGTCTGTTGGCGTCAGGTCCACCGGCATCTTGGTGAACTCCTTGTCAAAGTTGCAGGTGTCCTTACGGGTTCTCTGCAAGTGGCATTTAGAGATTATGATGGTGGGAGGAAGAGAGGGAGGGGAGGGATAGGTGGGAGAGGAGATAAGAATGGAAAGAATGATGGGAGAAGAGAGAACAGGAGTCTCAAAAAGAGAATTATCAACTTAAACCACAAGATTTTCATTCAACGCTCAAATAATGCAGCGTGCGGTCGGGCTAGCACAGGCCACCGTAGAAAGAGCCTTTTGTTATTTCTCTGATTTCTTACTTTAAAAAAGTTCTTCAGTTCGGTCTCACCAGCCAATGCCGTGCTTCACTTTATCTTTTCATCTCAACAACTGAACATTTACAGCTTAACTTTGTCATCTTACAACAAAAACATGCAAAAGCCACACCTGACTAGGAAAAATGTTCCTAAAGCAGCTTGAAGATGATCATACTGAGAGGGAATGTGTTTACTAACCCTAACCCTAGAGCTGCAGCAGAAAAATAGGACAATCCTGTAGTTTGTGTGTAGGCTTCTTCCACTTATCTTTTAAAGTCGTTCTCATTCCCGGGGCATCCTGCTCCACTGTTTCATCACGCAACACGGTTTCATTTTAAAACTGGTTTATCGGATTTAAAAACATAGCCACATTCTGTAGAATATTACGACTACCACCAGCAGGCCAGAAGGCTGCAACGTCTTGTCCAAGGACACAATGACTGAAATGGAAACAAGCAATTGAACCGGCAACCCACTGATGCTAGGACAAATGCCCAACTGCTGAACCCCCATCTTTAGAAGAGACAGGCTCAGACTTAGAGATGAGATGAAGAGCTCCTTCATCAGAGTGGAGCTTGGAGTAGAGCTGATTCTCATTCACTCCAAAATCTGTTAAGTAAATATCCTACTTAAGTTTTCCAGGCATATCCCTGTGGGAAGACACACCAGGACAGACCCTGGCCTACAAATGCATGGGAATTCGCCCAGAGAGCAGCTAGAGAGTTTCACAGAAATTAGATGTCTGAATGTTTCTCTAGGACTTGACACTTCCATGACCCATGGCCGGATAAGAGTTTCTGTAGAACCAGCATAAAATGAACTGGTCACACCATGGAATATGTATTTAGAAAGACATTCATATGTATTTAAGCAACATGTACTTGTCTTTCACTTCTGATACAAACCAGAAAATGAACCATCAAAGGAGACATAGCCGTTAGCATTCTGTGGCTATCGATCAGGAAGAAAACTCAGGATTTGGCAAAATGGTATCACTTTGGCCCTCTGGGATGAGACATGCTGGTCTTTCTGAACATATTTAGACTTCATGTATTAAGGCTTTTTTATTTTGTAAAACTTCATTTTCAATGATGAAGAAGGGAAGTGACATCAGGTTGTAGTGTGGTGGCTATTTGCCACCACATGGAGGATGTGTAGGGAACTTTTAAGGTCACCACAGTTCATTAGAAGTGAATCAAACTGAATCAGTAAGTCTAGAGCAGTGGTTCCCAAACTTATTTAGCCGCGCACCCCCTTCTATGTCCCGACCATGTCGACGCCCCCCCCGCCCCCCCCCCCCCACACACACACACACATACATGACGGCATGGCTATATACACACACACACACACACACACACACACACACACACACACATGACGGCATGGCTATATATACACACACACACACACATATATATATATATATATATATATATATATGTATATATATATATATATATACATATATATATATATATATATATATATATATATATATATATATATATATATATATATCAGATGTCAAGCTAAACAGACAGGGTTAAAAAAATATGATCGACCTTTTTCCCCATCACTTTCATTTTTTAAATAGTAATTAATAAACATTCGATACCATTACAATTTCCTTTGATTTAATTTTAAATAAATATTTAGAGTGCCCAGGTAGCACATAAACAATGAAATTTAACGGTTTTCTTAAAGTAGGAACGTTTAACCTGTGTGGCCAGAGCTCTCTCCTTCCTTCTGCTCTGCGTAAACCTGAACTGGCCACCTACTGGTGCGTAATCAAATGTCTATAGGGGAAAAGGAAAAAGCTTTAGCCATGAGGTTCACTTTTGCCTCAGACCGACTTATTGCTGTTTTATGGTGTGGCTGAATCTGCGATCCGCTGCCATGCGGACAGGAATAACAAATGCTGCAGGTTCGGAGTCACTGGCTGGAGCGGACCCGACTTTAATACGTCATCCCAAAATAGAAGCTAATATCTTAATTTGACCTGGAATGAAAAATGTTGTTCTAAAACCTCTTAAAAGTTTTTATCACAGAGGAGGCAGAGCTCATTTCTGCCTTCAGTCTGACGGTATCAGTCTGGCGCGCCGGAGTTTGCGCAGCGTGCACTTATTGAATCTGTGTGTGTGTGTGTGTGTGTGTGTGTGTGTGTGTGTGTGTGTGCGCGCGCGCGCGGCACAGCTCCACGAAGCTTGGTTTATGCTTGACGCATTCACTTTCCGCTTGGTGATGTGTCTCGCGGATGGAACGCGCTTCACAACTTGCAGCGTTTAAGTCACTGTGTCTCGTTAATGGTGCTATTTAAACCAATGTTGTAAAATTACTTCTGCCCAGCCCAGATGTGCTCACTTGTGCACCCGTGAGCCGTGGTTCCGGAACGCGTCTGACCTCTGACAGACGCACTCTAAACTTCAGATCTTCAGCGCGTGTGAGGTTTACAATGTCAGAACACCTGCATGAGACAGGTGTTAATTACAATCTGCCAGAATGACTCACCACCTTCAGATTTCTCCAACACCGTTAAAAATGATAAAATACGGAACATATCGGCGTGCGCAGGCCAGAGTGCTGAAGCTCGGCACATTGTTATTATGAAGTTAGGGCACATGTGGAGGACACACACACACACACACACACACACACACACACACACACACACACACACACACACACACACACACACACACACACACAAGTAAAATATACTTGTTTTCAATTACATTTATTGGGCCCACTTACTTTTTCTTTGGCCCACCCACAAATGAGTTTTCTGGCAAACGCTAATGGTGACACCTGACAGACTTCTCTGAGCTCCGCAGCCATTACAGTTTTCATCTCGCGCACCCCCTAGCGGCAGCTCGCGCACCCCCGGGGGTGCGCGCACCACACTTTGGGAATCCCTGGTCTAGAGTAAAGAATTTTTTTCTGTCTCACACTTGACCTGCTGAATGTTCGTGTGTTGGAGCTGTATCACGAGTTTCCAGTAAGTGTTAAGCAGAAGCTAAACAGTCTAGGTAAGAGCGACCGGTGTTTGGACCGAATTCATGACTTGTCTAGTTGTGACCAGCTCTGGAGAGTTTCATTAATCGCCTTGTATTCCAAGTTGGAGTCAAAGTTTGGATGGGTTGTTGATCTGCACAGACCATCTTCATTTTTGGAAAGAAACTAACAGAACTCCATCCCAAAAGTGTGCTCTGAGCTCAGCACACTGCCACTTGTTGCTAAGTGCCTGGGCATGCACATACTCCAAACCTATAAAAGATACACCCCACTTTTATTCTGAGGGACTTGCTCTGTATGTGTGTTGACTGTTAACCTCACTGTTCTTTGATAAAGGCCCCCACGCTGTTTGAAGACATCTGCCTCTTCTTTGACGTTCAATTGACCACTCACAGACTATGATGAGATTAAACGAGATGTCTGAGAGTCAGTGCAGGGATGGCAGCATAGGAGGAAGCTCTGAGGCACCAGGAAAACAAGGGAGGAGAGAGACGTAGAGACTTGGAAGACTTGCGTAAACGCAATTGTGACTTGTTAAAGGAAGTGAAGGTTAGCTGTGTGTGTGTTTGTGTGTGTACAGTAACAGTAACAGAAAGTTTCCCTCAAACTGCACTGCTCGGTTCAGTTGGTGTACCGAGAGAAACACGCAAACAAGCTGTTAACGAGCTTCAGATGTGATATAAACTCATGGCACCAAAGGGATGGTAGCATTCACACTTTAAGCCTGATTCATGCTTCTGCGTCTGCGTCAGTGCGGAGACACGCAACGTCCTTGCGGGCCTGCTGGAGAGCTCCACAAGGACGGACGGAGTCGAGCTCTCTTTTCTAAACATCTCAGTCAAGACAGACAACGCAAGCTTGTGATTGGTCAGGACGCCGCTGTCGTCTACACTGTCGCCATTGCGCCCTCAAAAACATAAACAGAGCCGAGGATAACTAGCAGCAGACACGGAGCAGCTTGAAGAATACCTCGCGAAAAAACTCTAAAAACATGAACGTTTAATTCCCCGTGACTGGAGGAGTGAAAAGATGCGCAGCAAGCGTTTTATTTGTGGACGGAAATGACAGGAAACGTGAGTTTAGAGGTGGCGAGCCCATGAAGAGATGGAGGAGGATGTGAGACAAATGTGTGTGTTAAAAAGTCTCTTATATACAAAAAAAAAACACAATATAAACACACTATCTTGGACCAGATACATGACAGGATACCACAGAACAGCGCTACGCCCTCTGTTGTCCTGGTGGGGAATTGCTTTGCAAAACTCCCCAGAAGACGGAGAAGTATGAGAGCAAAACGCTTCTCTCAATCCGTGCGTGTCTGTCCCTTGCGGAGCTGACGGAGAAGCATGAATCAGGCTTTAGCCAACTAACCTTTAAAGGAAGGAATGCAGATAGAAAACTAGCCTTGCACACTGGAAACTTGTCTTTAAAGCTGCTTTACGGAAACTGCACAACAAGTTAGAAACATGGTCACACAACACTCCCCCTTCCTGTCGATTATTGCCCCTAAGCCACGCCCCCCTGATGTGGGAACATGCAACGCCACAGTAAACGAGAAATAGCTAAACGCCAGTCGCCGTTTTCTATGTCCAAACGTCTTTCGTTGTCCGACTTCAAATAATATTTTTCTTTTCGGGACTCTGGTAGTTTGACCTAAAGTTTAAGTGGTAGCTGCCGGCTGTTTCTCCTCTGATATTCTTGAGCAGGGAAACTCTCCCACCAGTGGCATTCTGTTGCTAAATACATTAGTTC